CAACGCGAGTTGGAAATACAACGCGAACATGACAAGCAACAAGCAACTCTGGCTCTAGAGTGTCGTCAACGTGAAATCGCCTTGGAAACTTCACACTTCACTCAACGCCAACAAGCTACTGCCAATCTTCCCGTCAGTTTTAATATATCACATGCAAGTAAGTTAATGCCATCCTTTGTAGAAGCAGAAGTTGATGTGTTCTTTACCACCTTTGAAACCCTTGCTAATCAACTCAGTTGGCCTGTCGACCAATGGGCAACACTTCTCAGAGTCCATCTTACAGGTAGAGCTGCAGTCACACTCAGTACTTTGGCGTCTGAGAATGACTACTACACTCTGAAACAAGCAGTGTTAGACGCCTACCTACTTTCCACCGAAAGTTATAGAAGGAAATTCCGTGACCACCTGAAGGCAAGTACCACTACCTTCCTTGAGTTTGCTAACACGAAACGGAGGTATTTCATGAAATGGCTGGAAGCAGCACATGTCTCTACTTTTACAGAACTCGTCAACCTGATGCTTGTTGAAGAATTCTTGAGACGTGTGCCGCCTCCTGTCCGCCTCTACTTAGCAGATAAAGAAGAAACCGACTACCTGAAGTGTGCTAAGTCGGCTGACACTTACAGCCTCATCCACCGGCTGACACCTGAACCATCCTCCAGTAAGAAGTCGTGGTACAGTTACGAGAAGGTGAGCCCCGATCAAGCTGGTTCACAACTGTACTGCAAATATTGTAGACTCTATGGACATACCATAGACAAGTGTGGTAAGTCTCAATACAAGGGAACCACTGACCAACAACGACCCAAACCAACTCCTCCTAAGTCCGGTAAGCCTGTGATGAATGTTGGTGTTGATGTTAATGATCTTTCTCTTTTCAGTAACCACCTGTATACTGGAACTGTCTCTGCCAACGGTTCAAATCCGGAGGGACGTTTCAAATTGAAGATCTTGAGGGACACAGCGGCTCTACAATCGATCATCTTGAAGTCGGCTGTGCCCAACATAGTCTACACCGGGGAAACAGTCTTCATCACTGACCTCACTGCTACCACTCCATACCCTCTCGCCAGAGTCCACCTGAATTGTCCCTACGTGAACGGGGAAGTCCAAGTCGCCGTCAGGGAAAAGCCTTTTCCCATGCCTGGAGTGCAACTTCTCCTAGGCAACGACTTGGCAGAAGACCTGCAACCGACCAACCTGATCGTCATGGACAAACCCCAGGTGTGTAACTCTGTGCCCATAAATCCTATTCTCGAGTATGTTCCAGCAGAGGTTCAAGAGAGTGATGAAGTTTCTCCTCCGGTTCTCGTGACCACCCGTGCACAAGCCGCACGTCCACAGCCAGCTGACTCTACTGCTACCGCTGTCCCTCAAGACCCTCAGAAACTACCCCCGCATCTGACCAAGTTGGAGTTCCGTAAGTTGCAGAGGGAAGATCTTACTTTAACACCATTGTTTTTCCAGGCTGAGACTCAACCCGACAGTATTCCTGGGTTCTTCCTAGAGAACGACTTGCTCTACCGCAGATATAGACCCAGTAAACTGAAGGAGGAGGACGATTGGGCCAACACCGAACAACTTGTGATTCCCACCAGCCTGCGGCCCACTATTCTACACCTGGCCCACGGAGCATTCTCCCACTACGGCTTCAACAAGACTTACCATGGGATTCGTCAAGACTACTACTGGCCAGGTATGGTAAACAACGTCAAACAGTACGTAAAACAGTGTCATACATGTCAGATGGCAGGCAAACCGAACGTCTCCATTCCCAGAGCACCACTGATTCCCATACAGGTGCCTGCGGAACCTTTCCACAGACTCATAATAGACTGTGTTGGTCCTTTACCTCGGACCAGTTCAGGTAACGCCTACATCCTAACCATCCTGTGTCCTACCACCAGATTTCCCATAGCAGTTCCAGTGAAGAACATCACGGCTGCTACGGTTATCAAACATCTACTGAAGATCTTCACTCAATACGGATTTCCCAGGGAGATTCAAAGTGACTGTGGCACCAACTTCACCAGTGATCTCTTCAAAAGGACACTGGAGGAGTTCAACATCAAACAGGTATTGTCCAGCCCCTATCATCCTGCTTCACAGGGTTCTCTTGAACGTAGTCATCAGACCATCAAAGCACTCTTGAAAAAGTTTTGTAGTGAAACCTCAAAGGATTGGGATAAGCAGATTGACCTAATAATGTGTATTTTCAGAAGTCTCCCCAATGAGTCCCTAGGAGTATCTCCTTATGAGATGCTCTACGGCCGTAAGTGCCGTACTCCCCTTAAGGCTTTCAAAGACTCTCTCAGAGATGCCACCTTCAGTGAGCATCAGAATGTGCCCCAGTTTCTTCAAAACCTTCAGCACATTCTAGAGAGAGTCCACCGCTTTGCCCATGATAATCTATTGAAAGCCCAGGTGAGAATGAAGACTCATTACGACCAGACCAGCAAAGTAAGAAAATTCAAGCCGGGAGACTTCGTCCTTGCTTATTTCCCTATCCCAGGTTCACCTTTACAAAACAGATTTTCAGGACCCTACTGCGTCAAAGAGTGCAGGAATAATAATAATTATGTGATAGAGACTCCTGATAGGCGGCGGAAGACCCAGCTGTGCCACGTCAACCTCCTGAAGCAATATAATGGTACTCCTCCCACTGTCTTGACTAATTATTCCACATTCACAGAACCCTACATCCACAGTGAGACCTTCCCAGCTTCTCCTCCCGAAAGCACTGACAAGGAGTCAGCGCTTTCTAATTCCGAAATCCTTAATGATCTTCCCAAATACTTTCAGGATAATCATAGTGCACCTCTCGTCAAGATCTTCAGAGAACATCAAGAGTTGTTCAGAGATGATCCCCAAGAGTGTAATGTTACCCAGCACGACATCCAACTGCTCCCCGACACCCGGCCGATTCGTCAACCCTTCTACCGAATCAGCCCGAGCAAGAAGGAAGTCATGCGTGCTGAGGTGCAATACCTCTTGGATCATGGACTGGCTACACCTTGTGAGTCCCCCTGGGCCTCACCTTGTATCTTGGTGCCCAAACCCCAAGGTAAGGTGCGGTTGTGCACTGACTATCGAAAACTGAACTCTGTCACTGTCAAGGATGCTTACCCCTTGCCAAGGATAGATGACATCCTTGATGCCATTGGTAGTGCCCAGTACTTGTCCCAAGTGGACTTGCTTAAGGGGTACTATCAAGTGTGTCTAACGGAGCGCGCTAAAGAGATATCTGCCTTCATCACTCCTTTTGGACTTTTCAGATATGAACGCCTTCCTTTCGGACTATGTAATGCCCCGGCCACCTTTCAAAGAGCTGTCAACCGTGTCATCCAGGGCTTGGATAACACATACGCCTACCTGGACGATATCGTCGTAGCCTCCAACTCCTGGAGTGAACATCTGCTCCAGCTGCGACGTCTGTTCTCCAAGCTCCTGACAGCCGGCCTCACCATCAACCTGGGCAAGTCCACTTTCGCGAAAGGTAAAGTGCGTTATCTGGGTCATGTTATTGGGAGTGGCAGCATAGCTCCGTTAGACTCACACACTCAAGCCATCCTACAGTATCCACAGCCTACCACCAGGAAGCAGCTCCTGCGCTTCCTTGGTCTTGCCTCTTACTACCGTAGGTTTGTGAGGAATTTCAGTACAGTCGCCACACCTCTAATTCTATTAACCAGTCCCAAGCAACGGTATAATTGGACCCTGCAGCAAACCGTTGCTTTCGAACAACTCAAATTCCTCCTCTGTTCTAACCCCATTCTCGCCTCTCCAGATATCACCAAGCCTTTCGTCCTTCATGTCGACGCCAGTGGTACCGGCGTTGGTGGTGTCCTGATGCAACTACGAGGCGAGGAGGTTCTACCTGTCAGCTACTACAGCTACAAACTGAAACCACACCAGAGGAACTACAGCACTATTGAAAAGGAGCTACTATCCATCGTCCTGAACCTCCAACACTTCGCTCCGTACCTACAAGGCGCCAGGTCTACCACCATCTTCTCAGACCACAACCCCCTCCGCTTCCTACATCAAGCCCAATTCACCAACCAGCGTCTTCTACGATGGGCTCTGTATTTACAAGACTTCAACCTGGAGATCCGCTATATCAAGGGTTCTGACAACACCATAGCCGATGCCCTCTCCAGAGTTTATGAAGTAGAAGCGACTCCATCCATTACTCCACCACATAACGACGTACTTCTTCCAGAACCGCAGGCTTCGGGGGAGAGTTGTGACGATAATCTCCTTCAAGAGATTGAGCCTGCTCTTCCCTCCAAAATTATGTCTTCACAATTATATAAAAAGACTATGGAAGAAATGTCCAACAACGACAACAAACACCAGCAAGGCTTGCCAGGGTGAGCAGAAACGTGTGCAACCAGCCACCTGTTCGAACTCCAACCACCAAACTACCCGTTGATCGCTACGACTCCGCTGATTGGTCGCCGGTCTGGCTGCACCTGCACTCGCCCCCCCAATACTACCTGATGTCTGGGGTCGCCCCAACATCAGTCCTCAGAATGTTCCGTGCTTTCGTAGCCAGCACTCCTCCCAGCTAGACGTTAGCGTGTACTGAGAGAGGTGGTGGCTTTAAGCCAATATTCCAGCACCTCCCACTTACCTTTGTGTTGCACTTCTTGTTATTTTGCCTTAACGTAACTTTTCATTTTGTCATTTAAGTATTCTTATTATTTTGATTCATTGATTTTATTATACATATTTGTTTGTGCATTATTTTCATGTTTTGATTTATTTAACGTAATTAAAATTTCATTGTTAAAGTTTTACTTGTGTTTTGTGTGTCTTCTCCTTACCTTACCACAGACGAAGTTCCAGTTTTTCTATTTTTTTTTTATAACTATGTGACGAGGCCATACCCCTAGCCTTAAACAGCCGAACACCAACGCGTTACCGTCACAGATGACACTATATATAATAATATTTTATATATAAAATTTAAAATCTTGATGTTATTGTGTTTTCAGCCCCTGCAAGCAGTTCACACATCTGCAGGTATTCGGGCCAAACAAAATGAAGGGCCACAAGCAAAATATTTCCCAGCAGTAAAGACAATAATGCTACCAAAGGATACTTTCACGGGCAAAATTGCATTCATCACTGGTGGTGGCACTGGTCTTGGCAAAGGGATGGCTACAATGCTGAGTGCTCTTGGAGCAAATGTAGTTATTGCTGCAAGGTAAACATACAGTTTGCATGTGTAAGATTGTATTAATTCAATATTTTCCAGCATAGTATAGCATAGCATAGCATTGCATAGCATACTTTATTACATGCATTGATATCATCATTGTTTTCTGTTATTAATAAAATAAAAAAATTAAATGAAAATTATATGGTCCAGATGCAATAGGCCAGAGGAATGCAAGAGAGAAAAAGTATAGTATCTAAAAGTACAAAAATGCATGAAACATTGAAAGAAAGTCTAAAATTAAAAAAAAAAGTTAGGTAAAATATTAGACACTAAGAAAAAACCAGCATTGAATGTAACAAAACATCTCTTTCTGGTAGATCCTCGGTGGGTCCCCTGAAGCCATCTTGCCGAGATAGCTTCCTACTATTGTTACACCAGCCATAAAGTCCTGTTTGGTATAGCTACCCTGGCTCTCTCAGAGGTGGAGAGAGCATTATTATGATGATCCACATCAAAAAAGCATTTACAAAGTAAGTGAACAATAGAGGCACTATCAAAAAGAGGTCATTACATTCAATGCTAGTTTTCTGGAAAAGCATCTTGGTGGCTCCCTAAAGCTATCTAACCACAGAGAAGACACAACATGGTATAAACCAGAAAGGAGAACGGGATCTGCATGAGTCGCCAGGACCCAAATCCCCGTGTTTGAAAATCAATCCACAACATGTAGGCAGACAGTGACTAATGCTACAAACTTGAGAACCTTGTGGGTTCAAGGGTATACCACAAGTCAGTTAGCTTTAATGACACTGCAGATAACCTGGAAAAAATGTACCTTGGAACAAGGAACAAAGGAAACTAGATTAACAAATAGAGCGTCCACCAAAGCAGATAGGTGGCATGCAAGGAGCGGCAAACTGGTGTCATCGGGCACCACAAATGTTGCTCTCTTGGCCAGACCAATCGAGCATCAATAACCAAAGGACCCTTCCAGAAGCCAACTGATTCATTCTTAACCAGACAAGAAGACCACAAATGAAGAACTGCCCACTAGGGTTGAAGAACAGAACCCATGCTTCTGGAGGAGGGCATGATGCTCCCCAACCTAATAACTGGAGGCGAGAGCCAACAAAAACACCTTAAGAAAAATATACTAGACTGAAGGGGCAACCATGAACTGAAGGGAAGAAAGAGACACGAGCACCTTATCGAGAGACCAAGTTAGCTCAGGAGGAGCAAGAGCTGGTTGGAGGAGAAAACCAGACACAGCTTGCAAAATAGGGCCAAGGATACATCAATGCTGAATACAAGCAATAGTGGCATTGCCAAAGCCAAGTGATAAGAGGTGACAGATTAAGGCATTAAATGCTAATCCACAGAAAATCAGGACCAAAGGACAGGACCACTGGAACTGATGCGGAAGAGTGATGACAAAGAGAGAAAGAGGCAAAAGGAGTACCAAGAAAATCCATACAGTACTTTCTCCGTGACAAAAGACACACGTGGACCCCAACAAATTGGCTACCTGTACAAATAGTGGAAATTATTTTTCAGAAACTCCAGATGCATAGCTTGGTTGAGGTCGAACCAGTAAGGTATGTCACCAGGACAATCAGCTGAAAAGAGGTGAAGCTGCGGAAAAATGCCTGGGTAAAGACACCGAGCCAGAAGAGCCAAAAACCAAGGCTGAGCTATTCACCAAGGAGCCAGAAGGACCACATAGTCCAAGTCCAAGTTGTCCAATTTGGACAACATCTAGGGCAGCAGCTGAATCGGGGGAAAGAGATAGAGAAATCTCCCCTCAACCAGTACAGCCAAAAGGCATTCACTGCAAGAGCCTTGTAATTACCTAAGTGTAATTACCTAAGTGTAGTTACAGGATGAGAGCTACGCTCGTGGTGTCCCGTCTTCCCAGCACTCTTTGTCATATAACGCTTTGAAACTACTGACGGTCTTGGCCTCCACCACCTTCTCACTTAACTTGTTCCAACCGTCTACCACTCTATTTGCGAAGGTGAATTTTCTTATATTTCTTCGGCATCTGTGTTTAGCTAGTTTAAATCTATGACCTCTTGTTCTTGAAATTCCAGGTCTCAGGAAGTCTTCCCTGTCGATTTTATCAATTCCTGTAACTATTTTGTATGTAGTGATCATATCACCTCTTTTTCTTCTGTCTTCTAGTTTTGGCATATTTAATGCTTCTAACCTCTCCTCGTAGCTCTTGCCCTTCAGTTCTGGGAGCCACTTAGTAGCATGTCATTGCACCTTTTCCAGTTTGTTGATGTGCTTCTTAAGATATGGGCACCACACAACAGCTGCATATTCTAGCTTTGGCCTAACAAAAGTCATGAACAATTTCTTTAGTATATCGCCATCCATGTATTTAAATGCAATTCTGAAGTTAGAAAGCATAGCATAGGCTCCTTGCACAATATTCTTTATGTGGTCCTCAGGTGATAGTTTTCTATCTAGAACCACTCCTAGATCTCTTTCTTTATCAGAATTCTTTAAAGATTTCTCACATAATATATAGGTTGTGTGGGGTCTATGTTCTCCTATTCCACATTCCATAACATGACATTTATTAACATTAAATTCCATTTGCCAAGTGGTGCTCCATATACTTATTTTGTCCAGGTCTTCTTGAAGGGCATGACAGTCATCTAAATTTCTTATCCTTCCTATTATCTTAGCATCATCAGCAAACATGTTCATATAATTCTGTATACCAACTGGTAGATCATTTATGTACACAATAAACATCACTGGTGCAAGAACTGAACCCTGTGGTACTCCACTTGTGACATTTCTCCATTCTGATACATTGCCTCTGATTACTGCCCTCATTTTTCTATCAGTCAGAAAATTTTTCATCCATGATAGCTTACCTGCCACCCCTCCAATATTTTCCAGTTTCCAGAACAACCTCTTATGTGGAACTCTGTCGAAAGCCTTTTTTAGGTCCAGATAGATGCAGTCAACCCAACCATCTCTTTCCTGTAATATCTCTGTGGCTCGATCATAGAAACTGAGTAAATTCGATACACAGGATCTTCCAGATCGAAAACCATACTGTCTGTCTGATATTATATCATTTCTCTCTAGGTGTTCTACCCATTTAGTTTTGATTAGTTTTTCCAATACTTTCACTATTACACTTGTCAATGATACAGGTCTATAATTGAGGGGGTCTTCCCTGCTGCCACTTTTGTAGATTGGAACTATGTTAGCCTGTTTCCACCCGTCTGCTACGATTCCTGTACACAGGGATGCCTGAAAGATCAGGTGAAGTGGAATGCTGAGCTCAGATGCACATTCTCTCAGAACCCATGGTGAAACGCCATCTGGGCCAGCTGCTTTGTTCTTACCGAGCTCCTTGAGCATTTTTTCCACTTCGTCTCTAGACACCTCTGTGTGTTCTATGTTGTTCTCTGGAATTCTTATTGTATCTGGTTCCCTAAATATTTCATTTTGTACAAACACACTTTGGAACTTTTCGTTTAGTGTTTCACACATTTCCTTTTCATCTTCCGTGAATCTATTTCCCATTTTCAACCTCTGAATATTATCCTTTACCTGCAATTTGTTGTTTATGAATTTATAGAATAGACCTGGTTCTGTTTTACATTTGTCCGCAATCCCTTTTTCAAAATTTCTTTCTGCCTCTCTCCTCACTGCCGTGTAGTTGTTTCTCGCATCTTTGTATCGCTGGTATGTTTGGGGGTTCGGCCTCTTCCTGTATTGATTCCATTTTTGTGTCTTTCGGTCTCTAGCCCTCTCGCAATTTCTATTGAACCAATCCTGTTTCCTAGTTCTGCATCTCTGTTTTGGTATAAATTTTTTTGTGCCTTTATCATATATTTCACAAAACTTGCCATACATCTCATTCACTTCCTTGCCTAGCATCAAGTCTGTCCAATTATACTCACTAAAAAAATTTCTAAGGTCACCATAATGTCCTCTCCTGAAGTCTGGTTTTTCAACTGCTTCAACCTCCTTATTTTCTTCCAGCTTATAACGCATTGCATACTTTATTCCCAAAAAGACATGGTCACTTTTACCCAAGGGAGGAAGGTACTGAATGTCAAATATCTCTTCCTCCTTCCTGGTAAATATCAAATCTAGCATGGAGGGAACGTCCCCTTCCCTCATCCTCGTAGCTTGTTTAACATGTTGATACAAGAATGTTTCCAGGATGAGGTCTTGTGATTGGGAAATGGTGCTACATAGGATGCGTTGAGGTTCACCTTGGATCGAGTGTTGGCTTTGTGAGACATTCGGAAGGAAGCATCACCAATGGTCCACTCAGTGGAAATGGGACGGAAGTGAGATAACCCATTCACTAGAACATTGGACACACTCCTCACATGAACCGAGTGAAGACCCATACCCTGAGAATCCAGATGCCAAGCTACACACAGTCCTGCTCCAAAGATGGAAGAATTGAAGAATTCCTTATTTTCTTGGCCACAAATGAGACTTGTAGTTCAGGTAATGGACTTCCAAGTAGATGTCAGAATGAAGCGAGAGGACAGATTCTGTATGAAAAAGAAACATCCAAAGGGTCTGCCACACTGTTGCAAACTCACACACCGTTACATGCGCTTGACAGAGCAGACTTTACTACTGGCCCTGGGATGGCTGGTGAGTCCTAGTCATGAAGCTACAACCCAGTGCCGAGGTGTCCATGAATACATACAGGGAATACACAGTGATTGGGGATCACACCCCTGAAATGCCCAAAGAGATAGCTGATGAAGCAGTAGTCAATGAAGGTCAGTCAGGACCTGTAACCAATGTTCCCAGCAGCAGGAGAACAGTGACTGGAGCCAAGCTTTGCCCAGGAAAAAACACCATGCAGGCAAAATTCACACTTCCGCATAACTGCTTGACCGACTGACGAGACACCTGGGGCTGATCCAACACTACGAGAACACTGCTGCAGGCTGAGCAAAGCTGCAGGAAGGAAGAGACACACTAATTGGGAATCCCAAACCTGGTCCAACCAGGTCCAACCAGGTCCAACCAGGTCCAACCAGGTCCAACCAGGTCCAACCAGGTCCAGCCAGGCCCAAACCTGGGATGGAACCAACTAACACTTGCCCCAATTTTCAAGAACCCCAACCTAGCAAGCAGGGAATGAACCAAATTTCTGGCCAACTTGACATACAAATTGGCTGGGAGCCAAAATCAGTCAGTTGTTATAATAGGCTAAAAGACAATCCCCCAAAAGGCAGCCAGATCACAACTTCCACACATTAACCTGATAACGAACCTTGAAGCGGTAAGCTAACCTGATAAAGAACCTTGAAGTGTCTGATGCATCATAACAAACCCTAACTGGTCCCAGAACCTTGGGTGAATAGGGACAGGCCAGCACACCTCCTTGAGGTCTAGGGACACCATTCAGAAACCAGCCTGGAATACAGGGAGCCTAAACTAAAGTGGTCATGCAGAAGGTTGAACAGGGACTGAAGCTGTTCAGTCCAGAGAAGTAGTGTGTCTTTGGTCTGCAGTGTCTTGCTTAGGGAACACCCACTGAAGAGATGAGGTTAACTCAACCCAACCAAAAGTCCAACGGTGTCACAATGACTGCGGAATAAGCTGCTAAAGGATCAGTGTGATGGCCTATAAGCAGAACCACCCTTCTGCGGGGCATAGTGAAAATAACAAGCAGAGGAGGCAAAAGTTGAAGGAAGTGTGAGAATTCGGTTCAGCTGGAGGCCTAATGCAGGTAATAGCATATTTACTGTTAGGTGAACAGAAGCATTAAGTACTCTGGACTTAGTCAACTATTGTAGAGTTCCATCCTGGGGAGGGTCAGTTGTTTGATCTTAGGGGGACCTCTATATAACCTTAACATGTATGCATACACAGGCTTTCTGTCCTTGACAAAATGAATTAATTAAAACCCGAATATAAATTCGGTTAACAGGATTTCTGGCAAATAAAAACCTAATTTTTAAAAATTTTGTTTGCTTTCCTCGTAATTATTCATATAACTCGAATGACAGGTTAACTTGAATGAGGGGTGGGCCCTGTGTAAATTGGATTATTGAACCTAAACAATACTGTTCTTGCCAAGTAACCACTGTAATCTGTTCCTCTGTATTTTTATAAATATGATGTATTAATAATAATAAGCTGAAAACTTTTGAAACTATTCTTAGTTTTGAAAAGCAGGGTATAAATTTTATGAAATATATACAGTACCTGTGACCAGTTTTGAGAGGGTTTTGCAATTTTATAAAAATGTAAGAATGGGTACAGCATTGTGGCACTGAATATATGTTATAATAAAGCAACTATACAGAAATGTCTTGATATTTGTCAGGCGGCTTTCAGTACTAGAGGCAACTGCAAACGAGATTTCAAATGAGACTGGGAATTGCGTCCATGCTGTGCAGATGGATGTTCGTGACCCAGTATCAGTAGCAACTGCACTGGATGCATGTGAATCTAAATTTGGTGTTCCAAATATTATCATCAATAATGCTGCTGGCAATTTCATATCGGTACGTGACAAATTTTGCTGGTTCCTTATTTTCTTGGCCAGAATTTATCAAGCATTCATGCATCCACTTATGAAAGCTGTTCACCTTTCCTCAATCATGGCAGTTTTATTTACCTTTTAAACAATTTGAGCTTTGAAACGTCACAACCCAAGGTAATTAATGTTATAAACAACCTCATAGTGCTTCAGAGCTCATAAGCACTTTTAATAAATGTAAATAAAGCTTCTGTGTTTGAGAAAAGACGTACAGGCTTTGTATTTCGTTACATAAATTCTTGACGAATCCTGGCCCAGTTTTTCCGAACAATTTTTTTGTCCAGACATTAGGCATTAGTCAACCATTATTTGATTTTTTTTTTTTTTGGTGGTAGGTACTGCTCAGCTCATTTAACTTAATTAGTTGTCACCAAACCTTAGCTAAACACCAGACCTTGGAGACCTATCAATCACCTACCAGCAGCCACGTCCACAATCTGGCACGTGCTGAGGCCAAACATGTTGGTGTTATTAACACGGCATACATACAGTGCAGTACAGTATTTACATTCAGAAATTCTTAAAGTTTCTTGATATTTTCTCATGCATTGTCATGTCAGTTTGAAGAAACCTTGTGTCGATATATGCGTATTACTTTTATTTATGCTCTTTATCTGTTTCCTAGCCATCAGAAAGGCTGAGCCCAAATGCTTGGAAGACCATCACAGATATTGTATTGAATGGTACAGCTAATGTTACTTTGGATGCTGGCAAACGACTTATTAAAGCAAATCAAGGTTTGTAAAACATTTTTCAATCGGTTTGTATTCTTAAAAGAGAATTTATCCTAAAATTTGTGTACTTGTTGTTTTATCATTAGGGATGGATAATTCTCATTGGTGGGATGATTAATGAAATACGGTGGTCATGTTCTTCTTTTTTTCATTGCACTGTTGATGGATGTATATCTTTCTATACTGGACTAGAATAAAGATATGATTTGTCACAATTTATTGTTAAGTAATTCCTGATACAGTACTTATACTGTTCAAATTTAAAATGTTTATATTTTTGGCAGCATAATCTTATACCTACTGTGGCATTAATAATTATTTTTTATCCCAGTGAGCCCAGCTCTTGTACAATTGTGATCATTCTCTATAATATACATTTAATATTTTACCTCACTTTAGTGTTGAATATTAGTAACTTTCAGCTTTCTCTTGTACAATGTGGTAACAAAGTACAGTAAACAAAATGTTTTCAGAGAATACTTAATTTCATAATTAATAATTAATAATTAAATTATTTGACAAGTTTAGCTTATTATTTTGTAATTTAGGTGGTGTGTTTTTGAGCATCACAGCAACATACACACGCAGTGGATCAGGATATGTTTCACCGAGTGCTTCAGCAAAAGCTGGAGTTGAGACTTTAACAAGGTAATTGTAATTCTAGTCTTCATTTGAAAATCCCTGTAGGAACACGGATTTAAACAATTCATTTTGTTTGAAAGGATTTATCAAATGTTGGATACACTAGATTTGCTACTTATGAAGGGAAAATAAGGCGAGGGGAAGGTGGGAGGGTCAGGCCAGATAGGCAAGAGATTCTCGTTTTCTATTTTTCTATTTGTAATTTAGAAAGTGGGGTTGGAATAATATTTTTTATCTTTATCGTCTATTGATACAGTAGCATACTTTAACTTAAGCATACTACAACTAACTAAACATACTAACATATTAAACATACTGTGATGGGTTGCCACATACTCAGTATTGCAGCTATACTGAGCCAAGGTGGTATGGCCCTCTGGCGCAAAAAAAAAAAATGCTGCTTTGACCCTTGCAGTGTGTAAATTGCAGGTAGAAACAAAAGAAAATCAAATAAATAATTAAAACAGTATAATGAATATAACTACCATACCACCACAGCATCCAGCACACGATGAAGGATGGCAGCAGATGACGTTGCAGGAGACTAAGGTGATCCAAGAGCACTAAGAGAGAGACTGGCTCCCTAGGGAGGCGGTGCCCTTTATATAGTCTGGCAGTGATGACTCACAGCTGGTGTCAACGTAAGGTGGTAACAAGTGCTGGTAGCAAACTGCTAGCTTGCAGCTGACAGCACCTTTGTGTAGATGCTGTAACATTGGTAGTTGAAGGCAGCAAACTGCTTGTTTGCGAAGGCTAACTACTGGTTAGCGGAGGCACCCAGCTTGCCACCGAGTCGTACCAGGCCATGCCAGGCCCTGGGGGAAATATGGAGAGGTGGCAAGACTAATGACTCATCTTGGCTGGTGTAGAGGTGAACTTCCAGCACTGAGACATTGAGGGTGAATAGAAAAGGCCATTGCCATGCACGGGATTCACGTGACAATACTTAAAGTTCACGGCACTAGCAAGGTTTTTCCCAACTCCTGTATATGCTTTATTCCTGGTGTGAGTGATGTTTACTGTCAGCTGTTGGGAGAATTGTTTTAATTTTGGTTTTGTTTAGTTGGAGTTTTTGAAAGGTTTGAAAATTAATTAGAGATGTGTTGGAACTCATCTGCAAGGAATTGCTGACTATAAATTCTATATTTACATTATGAGAGGTAGAAAGAAAGAAAGCTATGATCAGTGAGAACTAAATACGTGTACTGGTACAATACTGTATATCCAAAACAACTTATCATTCTTAGAAAAGGATAAACAGTGAGCAATTGTCATGAACTTTTAAATTATATTAATAATGTTCATCACACAGTAACCGAGACCTTTCAAAATACAAAACTTATCATATAAGAAAACATTTAAATAAAGTGCATAGGGTCATTAGCTATCAGACACTCAACATAAATATGAGAGAGATTTTAGTACAGGGTATTGCAAACTCAGTTGTTAAATTGGTAATAGATTTTTTGTTTAACACTTAAGGGGGGCCTGGTGACTGAGGAGCATTTTTACAAGTATGAAATACTGTAGGGTGAAAATTTTTAAACAAATCTCCCGTTATTTGGCATCAGCGTCATAAAATTTCATGCCACTACGTTAAGAAATGGATTTTTTACAAATTTTAAACAAATAAATGCGTGTGCGACAGGTGGCAACCGGTACTGATAATAACGATAACACTTATTTACTGGCAATTGGGGATAGAGAAATGCAAGCGTTCTCTCTCTCTCCTTTCTTTTTTTTTTTTTTTTCCGCCTTTGTTTCTCCTTAGTTGTGACTTTTTTTTTTTTTGGGGCCGATTTATTTACAGATTTCAAACTCTAATTCTCATTGTCTATTTAGGTTGTATTGATGAATGAGGGCCTTATCACTTATATATGGGCGATAAAGTTACTGCAATATATATGTTTCGTTACAAGAAAATATGAATGAAGGTAACTGCACAAGGCCTATTGGCCCATATGAGGCAGCTCCTATTTATATCCACCCAGTCTCATTCATATATATGTTAAACCTACTGTTAGACAGTTAAGGGGTCCAGTGTCTGTTTTACAGTTACCCCTAATGTATCCCTATATTTAGTTTTTTGGGGGATTATTTTTCTTGACTTCATTTCAACACACATTGACCTACAACTTTCACGTATTTGAGTACGAATGCCAAGCAATGTTTATTAAAACATACAAGAAAATTCATTAAAGTAATTAGAACTGCCATATTCATTGTCGATAACTTCAACTTCAATTATCTCTAAAACAGGAATTTCAACTTTGAGACCTGATAAAAAATTTAGGTTCTGACATTCTCACCATTTTTACATATTACGGTATGTGCCAAGTTCTTAGTTTTATAACATTCTTCGTGTCATTTAGTCATAAGGCCATAACGTTTGGAGTTATAATTTGTTTACGTATAAATTTGACACATATTTAGATGGAAACATTGAAAAAATGTTTTACAATAAAGTATACTCTCAAGCAATATTTTTATCCAAGAAACATAAACGTTATATGCCATTCTGAGACCAACTGCTAATAAAATAACAATTGGTGACATTTTAAGATTTTTATCAGTAATTTGAAATTGTAATTTTTTCTTTTCTCTTTTTCTGTTCATAGTATGATGTTGATCCATTAGGAAAAGTTGGGGCATTTACCACCTTGAGGTTACCTTCAGGTGCTTCCGGGGCTTAGCGTCCCCGCGGCCCGGTCGTCGACCAGGCCTCCTGGTTGCTGGACTGATCAACCAGGCTGTTGGACGCGGCTGCTCGCAGCCTGACATGTGAGTCACAGCCTGGTTGATCAGGTATCCTTTGGAGGTGCTTATCCAGTTCTATCTTGAACACTGTGAGGGGATTGCCAGTTATGCCCCTTATGTGTAGCGGAAGCGTGTTGAACAGTCTCGGGCCTCTGATGTTGATAGAGTTCTCTCTCAGAGTACCTGTTACCATGATGCACTCGCCACAAAAAATTTTAGTGTGAGCAAATTTCGGTTCACAAGCACCGGGCTACTTAAAGCCACACCACTTGCCTTATTACCCTGTATATGCAATAGTATTGATGAAGCTCCTATAGGCTGGTAAGGGGTGACAGGATTGAAGTATTGTACAGTATATATATATATAGATGATAGGGTATAATAAATGGGATATAAATAAGGTTTTTAAATATAACAACACAAAATAGAACTTGAAATAATGGATATAAATTGAATACCTGGAATGGGTTCTCAGAGCTCTTTTACTTCCAAAGCCCAGCCTGAGGCTAGGATTGAGTTGGGTAAATAATAGTGTGGAAACAGGTTTTGTAATTTATGGAATAAATTAAAGGGTAATAAACGAGGGATCGTTGGATTGTTGCAAGAATGTTAGACATGTATATGAATGAGTTCACATTATACTAGTAGGAACTGCCTCAGATAGGCCAATAAGCTTTCTGCAGTTCCTCTTTGTTCTACATAAAGTCCTTACAATGGCATCAACAAAAGTCCACTAGGTTTGTTCAGTGTATGTAAGGGAGGCTACTCCATTATTGAGACGTAAATGACAAATACAAAACAAATGAAACACATTTGAAACAAAGAAAAATTGTTATAATGGAGCAGCCTACCTGCCGAACATCGAACGACCCTTTTTGACATTGGTTGTATTTCACGAATTTCTTTTTTTCTACAAAAATGTCAGTGCTTTGCAACACCTCAGCAGTCACCCCTTTATATCCCAGCATCATTAGCATCTTTAAACAAAAACAACATACAGTAATTTATGTGCATCGTCGGAGGCGTCCGAGAATGTGTAAGAAGCAGTGCGACCCCACCATGTGGTGTTGACGTTACTCAAACGAGCGTTCGCCATACGGGATGATTTGACGCCGATCGGGCCGTTCGTTACCCAAAATGTTCGCCTTTTGGGGCGATCGTTATGCAAGGTACCACTGTACTGCATACTGTATCTACATATGGTAGTTATCAGCACACTGTGTATTGGTCAACTTTGGGAATTCCTGAGTGGTATACCATATGGTTGCTTTGTTTCTAGATATCTTAGGAGTGCCTCTTGGAAGTGATTTAAAATGCTCTGTATGCAGAACTGTTTACTTTCTACAATGTATTTTCCTGGTGTTTCTTTAGGTTGCCAACATTTTCCAGTCAAGATTCTGTGCACATTGTTATAACATTATGGTTAATAATTAAAATTATTAAGAGTAAAATATTCATTTTTTATCTTTGGTACAATATGTACTAAATGTTAAAACCTCATGACTATATTCTGTAGAGCATTACCTACATCTTCCAGTCATTAATTACACAAGACTTTCTCAAACTATTTTATTTTTATAATTGTTAAACAGGTCTTTAGCAGCAGAATGGGGTAAATATGGCATGCGCTTTAACTGCATTGCTCCTGGTCCAATTGAGACCGAAGGTGCATTCAGTCGTTTGGACCCAATGGGTGAATTTTCAGAATTCTACCACGAACGCATTCCAGCTGGACGCCTGGGAGAAGTGGAAGAACTGGCTAATTTAGCTACTTATCTTGTGTCTGACTATTCATCTTGGATTTCAGGAGAGGTATGTTAGTGTTTTGGGTTTTCATATTTAAATGCACAATATGGAATATTGTAATTAAAAACCTAGTGTTGAATGCCTTTCTGGTGGAACCCTGGTGGCTTCCCGAAACTATCTTGCTGAAATTACTCCCCAATACTTGGTCACATCAGTCACAGGAATATTGTTTGACTTAATTGGGGACCAGAACTACAACCCTGGCACCCTCACAGAGGAACAGGGAGTGAGTGACTGTCCGTCACCCCACTGGGAAAGCATCCAGAAATTGAGCAATGCTTTATAGACAACTACAAGGTTCAAAGAAAACAAAACATTGAAACTACCAAACAACTCCAAAAAGATTTAAACAATATGATTCAAACAAGGGATCCCACTTCTATTATGTTGTGCAGTAATTGGTCCCACAAATCAACAGGTCTTTCCTAAATCTAAACGTGTCCAATTTGTACCCATCGTTTCAAGTTCTTGTTGGGGGAAGCCCCTATGGCTTCCCGGAGCTATCCAGGCTGAATGGATATGTATTCTGGCACCAGTCAAGGTGCATGGAGATCTTGCCTACTGGGGGACCACGAGCCAGAACCTGGGCCCCCTTAGAGAGACATGAGGAGCAATGGCCTATAGAAACCCCCCTGTGGTTGGGAGCATTCTATGTCTGCCATCAACCAGAACGGGCACCCAGAAAGGTAGGCGCCCCAAAACAAACCCCTATTCTGGTGAAAAGATTGCTACCGAAAGCCGAACAAGTGGACAGAACTCCCCAAACAAAAATACAGTAGCAAACTAGCATAACGTCATCACGTCGCCGCGCTGCCATCTGCGCAACTCCTCCCCCCCGCCCCAGGAGGGGGAAGGGGGAGCCCCAGACCCTCCTCGCCGGCTATCCAACTGGCAGTTCTTGGCTGATGGGTGTACTGGCCAGTCGAGTGCCTCTGGCTCCACTTTTGTTTCAGTTCTGTGCCTTGTGGTGTGAGCTGTCTCTATAGGTGGTGTGTGAGCTGGGAATATTCCACGGTACTCGGGCTGCATGCGCCTAGAGTTTCCTTCCCTAGGTGCCCTTTAAGTACTACCCTTGGGAGCTTGGGGCCTCTTTCCACAAGTCACCTTGGGATTTTCCTCCGCTGTCTTTTACTGCTCAGTACTGGGCCGCCCTTGGGGACAGCTGGTATCTTTTGCCCTAGTTTGCCTTTGGGTAGGAGATTGTTTTTGTCACTGGTAGGGGCACAGTGTACTGCACAGCTAATCTTCTACAATTATAGCGGCCGGCTCTGTTCCGCCTGGGTACGTTGTCCTCTTGCAGGGTTTTTCTTTTGTTTTTGTATTCTGCCTGGTGGGAGGGGTCTCCTTGTTCTTCTCTTCGCTTGGTGGCGTCTCCCATTTGGCCCCCGTGAGTGTACACGTCCCAGGGGTTCAGCTTTTAGCAGTTTGTTAGGTAGACTTGGGCGCCGGTTCGCAGTACCCTGCCTGGGCTTCCCTTATTGTGTACACAAGGCTAAGGGCCCTGGAAATCCCCACTGGGGCTCTGTGGTCCGATGAAGGTGACCTTGAGTCCCCCCTCTCGCTTCCTGTGAGTTTGATGGTTGCTCTGTCCCCTTGTCTCAGGGTGACACCACCGCTTTTATGCCTCTGTAAGATTCTCGAGAGTTCACGACACTCTTCGATTCAGTTCATTCTGGTCTTGTCCCGTCTGAACCCTAGGGTTTCTTGCCCCTCCTTTTGGATGACCATTCTATCTCAGATCCAGTTTCTGTTGGAGCTGGGCACTTGGATGGTGTCCCTGGACTTCAAGGACACGTATTGGAACGTCCTGATTCATTCGAGGTTCAAGGACTGGCTCGGTTTTGTTGTGGGCATCAGAGCACTTTCATTGTCTCCTGCTCGGGTTGAACCTGGCACCTCGCGTGGTCACACGCCTTACCCGGGTCGTGGTAGCCCGTTTGCAACTGTTAGGTGTTCGGGTGTTGGGTTACATCGACGACTGGATAGTTTGGGCTCCCATTCAGTCCGCGTGTCTGCTCGCCAGGGGTTTGGTGCTTTCCCAGCTAGCCGGGTTCAGGTTCCTGGTGAACTGGAGGAAGTCCCGTCTGGTTCCCTCCCAGCTTCAGTCCTAACTGGGTCTTGTGTGGGACTCTCGGACCGCTTTCTTGTCTCTTCCTCCACTGTCTCTCCTTCGGCTGCGGTCCCTCCTGTGCTTGTTTCTGGGGGCTCCCGGTCACCTAGCGGTTGCTCAAGGGTCTGTGTGGGAGCCTGAACTTTGTGATGATGGTCTACCCGCTGGGTCATACGTGGCTTTGTCGGCTTTTTCTGGTTCCTTCGGGGACGTCCTTTTCATCTCTCTCACGATTGCTGGGGTTCAGACCCTGGGGGCCTTACGTTGACGGCTGCTTCACCGGCTTCCTCTTTGTTTTTTTGGGGGGGGTTAGATACCATGGCGCCTACCTGAGCCCTCACTCGATGTGTTCACGGACTCGTCGTCTCTCAGCTGGGGCTTTGTGACCAGTGCTCACCAGGCCGGTCAGGGGCGATGGGGTCCATCCTTCCGTCAGACCCACAGCACGGTGCGGGAGTTGGCAGCGGTGTGGTTTGAGCTTCGGAGGGTTCGGGTCACCTGCGGATCGATGATCCGGCTCCATTCGGACCACCTTATCACTATGTGACCTAACAGGTGTCACTCTGACACTGTTAGGTCATATGGTCAGTCTCTCTCCATAGCTGTCATGATCCACTATTGTAGGACTAGGACCTTTTCATATTCATTCAATGCCTAATTATTAAGGGAACTGCAAATTATTCAAATGTGTTATTAAGTGAGCCATGACTATCTTGGTAATGGAGGGATTTCAGTGCTTAATTCACCTAACCAAATACAGTACAGATACAGTAAAATACAAATTTTGATAGTTTTGATATTCCTAGAGTACGACTTAATCAAACCAGAAATGCTCTACAAATCAAGGGGCCCAGGATGTGGAATGACCTTCCCAACCATGTTAAAGACAGTACCTCTCTCAACCAGTTTAAGTTAAAAACGAAGCTATACCTAATAAATTCCCTGTAACCTACCTTACCTCTCTATTGTCAACCCATGTATGTTTTTTGTTTTTTTTTGTTTTACAAATCAACGCTGTTTTAATGTAATTTTCTGTAATAATTTGTAATTGTATTTGTGCTGTTTTTTCAACAATGTTCCCCCCTCTTTTATCTCTATTTTTATTTGTACTCAATGCATTTTTTTCTTTTTACCCATTAGTTTTAAGCTTTAGTCATTAGTGTTTTTTCCTGCCCGAAACGCTTTGCGTAATAGTGGCTTTAGGCATTGTATGTACTAGCTCCTATCTATAAAGCCAACAAACTTTGTAAAATCTCTTTATGTATGTACCTTTGCCTAAATAAAAATTATTATTATTATTATTATTATTATTATTAATATTGTATTACAGACTCTTGCTTTGGATGGTGGGCATTATCGGTATATGTCGAGTGGTCTCAACCGCCTTTCGAATGTAACTCCTGATCAGTGGGATGTAATGGAGAAAATGATTCGGACAGCTTCAAGCAAAGATAAGTCAATGACGAAGGCCAGACTTTAATCTATAAATAGGTAATAACTGTAATACAAAAATTCTGTAAGTCCGTAATAATTTTTGGATGTTTAGAGAAGGAAATTTCATCTAGGGTGGAAGAAGAGATGAGAATCATAGAGAAAATAGAAGGTTTAGGAGAAGACTCAAAGGAAAATGTCAGTAGTGATTTTAGAAGAATAGGAAAATATGAAAAAGACAAGAACCGCCCCTTAACCCTTCAATTGCGCATCGCATCATATGATGCTTTGACCGACTTGCAATAAATTGCGCATCACATCATATGATGCTTTGGAGTACTACGCAAGATTTAAATGGCCCGCGGATACACGGGGTTCACCACACCTTCATCAGGGCTCTTGTAAACAGACGCCATTTTTTTAAAAAATCGTGGGCCAAACTCCAGGGTGTTAGGGGCCTCAGTATTGAGTGAGCTACCAAGCCTGACGCACGCAGCATGAGCTCACAGCACTGCTGTTCAGCTTGTGACCACAGCATCGCCTAAAAATGCCATAATATACTTGTTCATGCTATTATGTAGCGATGATATTATTACAGAAGACCCCTGACTGTGATAAAACTGACCAGGGTTCTGATAATAGCAGGATTGTGGTGATATTTGACGCTGTGCGCCATGGAGGGAGGAGTAATGCTGTGGGAGGGAGGATGGTGGCGTTGTCTTTTGAGTGTGTGTGGCCACCTTTTATTGACTGCACTCACCATACCAGCTTAGTGGTTCGCTATGGTGAACACAAATGTAGATACTTATATATAACGTGTGTATAGTGTGAGATAACAGCGAGAGTAGGAGGTTGGGAGCCGCCATTTTGGTGAGGGAGGAGCGTCGTCTGCAGGACTTATCATGTTGTTTACTGATGACCACGATGGTCTTTGGGCACCATACCAGTTTACTTGTACAAGTATAGTGAATAAAACAGGTAGATATTTATATATAATGTGTGTATATAGCGTAATAACACCACAAACAGTATTGTTGTAGGAGAAATATTAGTGTGTCTGGCCTTGAGGGCGGCCACCACAAGCTGACTGTGTGAGTAGCTACGTCTCTCTGCCTTTACTCACCATACAAGCTTAGATGTACAGTTATGGTGAACAAAACATGTAAATACTTATATATAACATCTGTATATAAAAGCAAAAACAGTATGGTGGGTGGAGAATGGTGGCAAGGCAGGTGAGGTGAGGTGAGGGAGGGCGTGGCAGCCAGTCACTGCCTGCCACTGCCACTCAGCATACCAACTTAGTGGTTTGTCATGGTGAACAAAACATGCAGATACTTATATATAACCTGTGTATATAGTGTAATAACCGACAAAGTATTTGTTCACTGTTTGATGAACATAATTGAATCAACAATACGCACACCATATTTTTGAGTACAGCGATGATTCACTCATTTTATTATATAAATATATCACACTACACACTATTGAATAATATTACTGTACAGCAAAAAAACTACGAAAAATCAATCGGAGACATTGAAATAATTAGGTAATTATCTCTTTGTGGAAACTCTGGCCTGACAGCTGGCGATCAACAGACCGCCTGGGACGCACGCTCAGTCAGCGCCTGATTTTTGTCACACTTCCCCGCCCTATAGTGGGCAATATATGCCACTTACGATTTTTTTATTATTTTTCCCGTGATCAGTGAACACAAATTAACAGGTTAGGAAGAATTTTTTTTTTTTTTTTATGAGCCTGTGGGTGTCAAATGGTATATAGCTATGCGCCATTTAAGGGTTAAGGGTGACGTTTAATGGAGTGAAAAACATGATGGAAGTTTAGAAATGCCAGGAAATTGCAGAGTGATGTGGTTGGGAAACTTTGGTCAACAAGACAAGACCTCTCAAACAAAGACAGAGAAAAGCTGAAAATGAACCTAATTGAAGCAAAACATCTAAATGGGAATAGAAATGAAAAACACATTCTTTTTTCTACAAAGTGTCAGGGGACTGGAAAGTTTGTGAAATGGTACATAAAAATAAGGTAACAAAATCATTAGTGGAAGGAGGAGTAAAGAGCAAAGGGAAAGGGAACATGTTCCTGAATATTGTATATACCAACATAGATGGAGTGAGGTCAAAAACTCTGGTGTTGCAAGATATAATTCAGCTTAAGGTCCCAGATATTGTCGCATTATCAGAGACAAAACTCGAAGGAAATGTATTAAATGAAGTCGTATTCTCAAGGGGCTATTCAGTTTGGAGACGTGACAGGAAAACTAGGAAGGGAGGAGGAGTGGCTGTACTGGTGAAAGAACACCTGAAGGTAAGAGTTAATATTTGAAAACCATCGAGATATTGACATAATGGCATTGCAGGTCTGGAATCGGGATGATAAGCCGATAATTTTAAATGCCTACAGCCCACCAGCAAGCAACACATGGACAAAGGAAGAACTGGATGACAAACGAGAGGGCCTCATAATGGTAATGAGAGAGATTTTTGTACAAGCCAGATAACGATAAATCATGACTGTTGATACTGGGAAACTTCAACTTTAAAGCAATAGACTGGGAGGCCTATGAAGCAAGAACGGAGGACTTTTGGACATGTAGATTTGTGAACCTCATTCTGGAGACATTCTTGTATCAACACATCAAGCAGGCCACAAGAATGAGGGAAGGAGATGTACCATCAGTACTGGATCTAGTAGTCACAAGGAAAGAAGAGATATTTGACTTCCAGTACATTCCTCCCTTGGGAAAGAGTGATCACGTCCTGTTAGACATTGATTATGCTTTAAGATATCATCTAGAAGAAAATGGGGACATTGAAACAGTTGATAAACTCAATTTCAAGAGAGGTCATTATGGGGAACTTAAAAAAAAATTTAATGAGTGTAATTGGACAGACTTTTTTGCTAGGCAGGGAAGTAAATGAAATGTATGCCAAATTTTGCAAAATATACAATGAAGGCACACAAACATTCATACCAAAACAGAGATGCAAGGCCAGAAAACAGGATTGGTTCAACAGAAATTGTGAGAGGGCCAGAGACCAAAAGACACAAAAATGGAATCAATATAGGAAGAGGCCAAACCCCCAAACATACCAGCGATACAAAGATGTGAGAGACAACTATACGGTAGTAAGGAGAGAGGCAGAAAGAAATTTTGAAAAAGGGATAGCAGATGAATGTAAAACAGAACCGGGCCTATTCTACAAATTCATAAACAACAAATTGCAGGTAAAGAATAATATCCAGAGGTTGAAAATGGGAAACACATTCACGGAAAATGAAAATGAAATGTGTGAAACATTAAACGAATAGTTCCAAAGTATGTTTGTACAAAATGAAATCTTCAGAAAACCAGACAATAAGAATTCCAGAGAACAACATAGAGCGTATAGAGGTGTCTAGAGATAAAGTGGAAAATATGCTAAAGGAGCTAAGAAAGAACAAAGCAGTTGGCCCAGATAGTTTCACCTTGGGTTCTGAGAGAATGTGCATCTGAACTCAACATTCCACCTCGCCTGATCTTTCAGGCATCCCTGTGTACAGGAGTCGTAGCAGACGTGTGGAAAAAGGCTAACATAGTTCCAATTTACAAAAGTGGCAGCAGGGAAGACCCCCTCAATTATAGACCTGTATCATTGACAAGTGTAATAGTGAAATTATTGGAAAAAATAATAAAAACTAAATGGGTATAACACCTAGAGAGAAATTATATATCAGATAGACAGTATGGTTTTCGATCTGGAAGATCCTGTGTATCGAATTTACTCAGTTTCTATGATCGAGCCACAGAGATTTTACAGGAAAGAGATGGTTGGGTTGACTGCATCTATCTGGACCTAAAAAACGCTTTCGACAGAGTTCCACATAAGAGGTTGTTCTGGAAACTGGAACATATTGGAGGGGTGACAGGTATGCTTCTAACATGGATGAAAAATTTTCTGACTGATACAAAAAATGAGGGCAGTAATCAGAGGCAATGTATCGGACTGGAGAAATGTCACAAGTGGAGTACCACAGGGTTCAGTTCTTGCACCAGTGATGTTCATTGTTTACATAAATGATCTACCAGTTGGTATACAGAATTATATGAACATGTTTGCTGATGTCAAGATAATAGGAAGGATAAGAAACTTAGATGATTGTCATGCCCTTTAAGAAGACCTTGACAAAATAAGTATATGGAGAACCACTTGGCAAATGGAATTTAATGTGATTGTCATGCTTTTCAAAAAGACCTGGACAAAATAAGTATATGGAGCACCACTTGGCAAATGGAATTTAATGTGAATAAATGCCATGTTATGGAATGTGGAATAGGGGAACATAGACCCCACACAACCTATAAATTATGTGAGAAATCTTTAAAGAATTCTGAGAAAGAAAGAGATCTAGGGGTGGTTCTAGATAGAAAACTATCACCTGAGGACCACATAAACATAAAGAACGTTGTGCGAGGAGCCTATGCCACACTTTCTAACTTCAGAATTGCTTTTAAATACATGGATGACGAAATACTAAAGAAATTTTTCACGACTTTTGTTAGGCCAAAGGTAGAATATGCAACGGTTGTGTGGTTCCCATATCTTAAGAAGCACATCAACAAACTGGAAAAGACATTCTACTAAGTGTCTCCCAGAACTGAAGGGCAAGAGCTACGAGGAGAGGTTAGAGGCATTAAATGTGTCAAAACTAGAAGACAAGAAAAAGAGGTGATATGATCACTACGTACAAAATAGTAACAGGAATTGATAAAATCGATAGGGAAGATTTCCTGAGACCTGGACTTTCAAGAACAAGAGGTCATAGATTTAAGCTAACTAAACAAAGATGCCGAAGAAATATAAGAAAGTTCACTTTCACAAACAGAGTGGTAGACGGTTGGAACAAGTTAGGTAAGAAGGTGGTGGAGGCCAAAACAGTCAGTAGCTTCAAAGCGTTATATGACAAAGAGTGCTGGGTAGACGGGACACCACGAGCGTAGCTCACATCCTGTAACTACACTTGGGTAATTACAGTGAAATAATTCCATGTCA